CACTTATCATTTCAGTCTTGCCAAGCATTACCCGCACTCTCAACACTTCGACCCGCTGCGTATTTCCCGTATTGTCTTTTATTTAAAGCACTTGCAATTGTCAGCCTCATCAATTGTACTATGTTGTACTGGTACTTAAATGATACTCAGATACTCAAAGACTTCAGTGTTGCTGCTCAGCTTCAGCCTCCACCACTTCAGGGTTTCGATAATTGAGATCTGGCTGAAACTCTCCGAAGGCATGGTAATAGTACTCCTGGTACGGGAAAACGCATGAAATATGAAAAAGCTCGTCTTCTCTCCAAACAAAATAAACAAATCAATGCTGACCTATACACAGTGTGATGCACAGTGCGCACAGTGTGCACAGTGTGATGGCACTGCGCTCCTGAGTGGTGGGATCCAAGGTCCATGCGGAGCCTGCCATGCTCTCTGGACCCAGGTGCAAAAGCTGCAGACTTTACGAGTCGTTCTACGAGTCGTTCTACGCGTCACGTGAAACGAAACCAGGTTCAAAGATCTTCAAAGATCTTCAAAGATCTTCAAAGGCTCAACGGAACTGCAATCACGATGATTGGGTTCTTGCAGATAATCTAGCTAACTAAACATACAAAAACAATCAAACAACAGAGGTTACGGTACACTATGGATCACTATGGTACCAGCACTAGTACATCTAGTACATGGGCAATCATAAGCTCTGTCTCTACCTTTTTGCCCTGATCTAAGTTGGGCAAAACAAGCGTTGGCGTACAATGGAGTCGATCGAGTCCAACCTTGACCGCCACCGAAGTTTGAGGCCCAGTTGTTCGGGGGTTGTTTCGTGCCGTTGACGTCGACACCTCACCGCTAAATTGGGCACGCCGGACACCCGAACGAAATATGGAGAAATGCTGACATTGAACATCATTGAACTACTATGAGTATTTTGACTTCAAATTGGAGCAAGTGTTCAGGCCGCGTTTGGCAGGGGGCAAGCCGGGCAAGCCAAAAATTTGGATTTGAGCAACGTGGGAAAGATGCCAAAAGCAAAAGGATGCAAAAAGCCCTTTGGAAGCCAAGTCTTCAACGGCGATTCACTAGTGCCTGGATGCCAAATGTACCAATCTCGCTTCGAGTTCGTCTTGGAAGATCTGGATTCCATAAACCATTTGGACCTTGCACAACGTTCCAAGTTCTCCAAGCCATGAAATTTCCAGCTCAGGCTGCAGTTGAAGCTCTCCCATGCAACTTCGGAGCAACATGCCAATATATGTCAATTCAAGTCTCTTGTGGCTGGGTGCCAAACTCGTTGGAGCTATGGTTGGGAACAAAATCCTTGGCGCTACGGATCCAGAATTGACACGTCGAAATTCAAACAGCTTCGGTCGTCAATGCGTACGAGCGACAACCAGATTCCATTCCAGGGCGTTCACACAAGAAGTATTCCGATGGATTTTCAAGGGTTGCAGTCGCCACAGTCATCATCTGTCATAAACGTTTCATAAATAACCTTCAAATGTGTAACCGATTCTGTTCGATTGGTTTCCACTGTTTTCCCATCAAATCGCAACTCTCCCATCAAATCTCCTGGAGATCTCTTCTGGTGCCGCTGAGTTTCCATCAGCAATTTGATGCCCGCCTCTTTGGCGGCAGCCACCAATTCTTTGAAGTCCTGCACTGCATGGCAATAGGGGAAATGTCAAAACGTCATCAAATGGATGATCAAATGTTTTGTGTCATGTTTACAAAACGTGGTTTCCTGATGTTTCCTGATGTTTACGAAATTTGTCAAACATATTATCATGATATCATCATGTTATCATCATGTTATCATCATGTTATCATGGCTGACCTCGACTTCACTGGCACCGGTGCCCACCTGCATGGAGCCGAAGAGGGGATCGATGTCGTGGAAGTCGCTGATGTCGTAACCTACAGATGATGGGTTCGGTGCCATTGCCATGTCATATGGGTTATATTACTATTGGGGTTATATGACTAAAATCAAAATCTAGTAATATAGTATAATATAGTAATAGTAATATAACTAATATTGCAATGTTATATGACTCTCATTCCAATAAAGATAGATCCTGAAACCTTGATATCGGAAAATGAACATAGACCCTGGTGACTTTTCTGGGTTTCTCTGGGGTCTATCTTTTCTTGTAAAAACATGTAAAACAAACCTGAGCGTATATTGGGTTATATTGGGTTATGGCAAGGCGATCCAACTTTGAAATCGACAACCAGTCCGAAGGAACTTCAAAGCAACCGCAACCCATAACCACAACAAAACAAAAAAAAAACTCACATGGAACGTCACCATGTCACCTCTGTAGGTGGTGACAGGAATGATTGTTTATAGTCGCTTCCATCTCAGTGTAAGATTTTAAGATAGCTGGAATCGTTTTTTCTTCGTCCTCCCGATAGAAACATATAGAAACCGTGTGCTCCCCGAGTGCCCGGACCAAAGTCCCTCATCGGACTCTTCATGATGGGCGACACCCAAACGAATCCCACGCCGAGCTCCTCCAAATTGAAAACTTGAAGTCCAAATAAGTCCAAATCAGATCATTCTGGGATCATTATGAAATCATTCTCATCCTCAAATTGCTGACCAAAGAAATCTGAGGTTGTTGCCCAAGGTGCAGGATGACAAGGTCATACAAGGTCTACATGTCTTACACTGCCTGCGTCTGTCAAGCAATGGACCGCTCCTGTGGCTTTCAAGATTCATTCTGCATTTTGACCCAAATTTTGAGAAGATGAAGCCAGAAAAGCATCGTAAATCAGAAGCTGCAGTTGAAGTTTCCCTGCTTTTCAGGTAGAGATTTCTGGTGCATTTCAGAAGTTCGTCATCCCGGGTGCATCACACACAGTTCCCTTTCCACTGTGAACTCCTTGAGATATGGCAACCTCTGTTCGATGCCCTTCAGGTCCTTGCCGCGTTGTCCCAAAAACTGTTTGCGCAGAATTGAATGGAACTATTATCAAACCTTTTCTCGTTGTGATCGGTTTGAAACAATCCATATCAAATAGGCTGTGGTTGTATCCGATCAACATGTTTGACTCACGGTTTGAGCGCTTTCCAGGAAGAAAACTACAGCAGTGGTTAGTGACCTGTGGGTAATGCACGCCACACTGATGAGTTGTTGCGCTGCCAGGTCAATAGGTATTTCGTTGGTTGTTTCAATTTTTCTTGGATACCATTGATAATCATATCAACCCCTCCATCAACCCTCGCTGTAAACATTCTAGGTAACACATGATAATACACAAACGATGAGAGCTGTTTGAGCGAAATTTTTGCAACGAACTTGTTTCAGCGAAGGGGTCTGAACCTTCCAGCATGGGTGGCAAGATGTGGCAAGGGTCGCCGGTACCATCTCCGTTTGCATCTTGAAAAGAGCGTGGATAGATCCTCAGTGCCACATCCATGGCTGTGTGACATTTCAAGGGTGAGGCCTGCTGGTGGGCACTCTCTTGAAGACAAAACAGTCTTGGAGCACTTACGACCTCTCCGTTGTGTTCACCCTCTATCGCCCGGCGCCCAAACTATTTTCGTTTTAACAACAACAACAACACCAGCAACAACAACAACAACAGTAATCTGCCGACCCCTGGCTAGCCTTGGCCTAGGCTAGGCGGCGCCCGGGACCACCGCAGGTGTGCAACATGAGCCGTTGCAGTTTCAGCACTTTTGCCAGGTCCCAAAACTCTTTGCAGGCTTCCCAAACTCTGTTTCTATCGCATTTCCACACTCCTGCGTGGCACGCTTTGCCCCCGTGAAACCCCTCGCTGCAACTTCACTCCTTGCCGGCTCTGAAAAACAACTTTGTTCAGTTGCCAGGCCCCAAAACTCCGTGCCAACTTCCAAAATCCGTTTCGGCAGAATTTCGAAACTGCCGCGTGGCACGCTTCACCCACCCTGAAATGTCCCGCTGCAGCTTCACAAAACTCCGCGCCAGCTCCCAAAATCTGTTCCTATAGCATGTCGAAACTGCCGCGTGGCACGTTTCATCCACCCCTGCAATGCCCTGCTGCAACTTCAGCGTGTTCCCAGGCCGCAAAACTCCTTGCCAGCTTTGCCGCGTCAAAACCTGTTTCTATAACATTTCGAAACTGCCGCGTGGCACCTTTCACCCAAATCCCTTTTCATAGCGGTTCGAAACTGCCACGTGGCACGTTTCACTCACCCCTGACATGTCCTGCTGCAACTTCAGCGTGTTCCCAGGCCGCAAAACTCCTTGCCAGCTTTGCCGCGTCAAAACCTGTTTCTATAACATTTCGAAACTGCCGCGTGGCACCTTTCACCCAAATCCCTTTTCATAGCGGTTCGAAACTGCCACGTGGCACGTTTCACCCACCCCTGACATGTCCTGCTGCAACTTCAGCGTGTTCCCAGGCCGCAAAACTCCTTGCCAGCTTTGCCGCGTCAAAACCTGTTTCTATAACATTTCGAAACTGCCGCGTGGCACCTTTCACCCAAATCCCTTTTCATAGCGGTTCGAAACTGCCACGTGGCACGTTTCACCCACCCCTGACATGTCCTGCTGCAGCTTCACAAAACTCCGCACCAGCTCCCAAAACCTGTTTCTATAGCATGTCGAAACTGCCGCGCGGCACGTGCCGCTGCAGCCAGCTCCCAAAACCTGCTTCTATCGCATTTCGAAGCTGCCGCGTGTTACATTTCACCACCCACCCCTGAAATGTCTCGCTGCAGCTTCAGAGCGTTCGCGAAACTCCTTACCAGCTCCGCCGGATGGCGCGTAACTCCTTGCCAGCGGTCATGACCATGCGCAAGTTGACCAAGTCTGGAGTACTGGTCCACCACGGAAAGCCCCAGCAAACTCTCCTGCATCTGCCGCCGGACGAACTCGGCGTCGAAGCGCGCCAAGGGAGCTCGACTCCAGCCTGCCGAGCTTCCTGCCGCTGGCCGCCAGCAAGAAGGACAGGGCCAGCGTTTTGTGCTGCAACAGCGGTAAGGGGCACTGAAGCCCGAAGCAGCCCGCTGGGACAAAGCACAAATAGCCGACGGCCATGGCTGGCCTGGTGCTTGGCGAGGCCACTTGGGAAACGTTGGGACCAGCTTGAGCCCCTAGTAGGCTACCGCGGAAGTTGCTCAAAATCGCAAAACATCATCAGTGCTGCGCTGACAATTCAATCTAAGGTGCATCTATAGGCCGATACCGCAGATGGGCACGTCCGTTGAGATGGACGTCTAAGCCACCACTAGAAGAAGGCTTGTTCTCCTCAGTGAATCTTTTCTTTTGCTCTTTGAGCCGCTGCTTGTAGGCAGCTAAAGCCGTGGCTTCTTCTGCGTCCTTTTTAGCTTGCTCTTCCGCGGCCGCTTGTCTTGCGGCCCGGGTTGCTTTGGCCTTTTCAGCAGCTTGCTACTGTTTAGGGCTGCGTGCTTTCTCCTTCGGAGATGCCTTGGCTTTCAAGTCCTTTGGAGTCGTTGTGCGGACTGGATCGCTAATGTCGTACTGCAGCCTCCTGCACACGGGCCTGCATGGAAAGGAGAAGAAATCAAGAGGCACGTGAGCGATAGAGAATCTGAAGCTGATTGCTGTTGCCGTTCGGGTTCCATCTGCCTTTTAATATTGCTAGCGAGCTTGGCGCTCGGGTTCCAGCGGGCACGGAGGCATGCGCGGGGTTTTTTGCCCATGGCAGCAATAAAACGTGTCTTTCTGATTGCCTTTCTTGCCGTGTCAGGCTCGTGCTGCTACTTTATGGCTCAAGTTTGGCCGTTATCTGTGCAAGCGCACGATCGCCAAAAACCAAACCGCGAAGCAAATACAATCATAAGAGAAAATAGGCACGAAACGAGCAAAGCAAACCAAAGGCAAACAAGCGCCAAAACGAACCGCGAAAGAGGCGCAAGCACCAAACGGAACGAAAAGAGCAACTAAGCAAAAATACAGGCGCGTAAGCACCACAAACGAACCACAAAGCAAATACAGTCACCAAACGGCATAAGACGAGCAACAAAGCAGACTACAAGCAGACAAGCACCAAAACGAACCACAAAGGAGGCAAAAGCACCAAACTGCACGAAACGAACCAATAAGCAAACTACAGGAGGCAAGCGCCACAAACCAGCCGCGAAGAAGGCACAAGCACCAAACAGCGCAAAACGAGCCGCTAAGCAAACTGCAGGCGTGCAAGCAAAAAAAACAAACTACGAAGGAAGTACAAGCTCCAAACTACGCAAATCGAGCCAAAAGGCAAGCCACAGAGAAGCGCCAAAAGTGAACCACGAAGAAGGTCACCAAGCGGGACGTGTCCCACTGCAGCTTCACAAAACTCCGTGCCAGCTCCCAATACCTGTTTCTATAGCATGTCGAAACTGCCGCGTGGCAGCTCTGGGAGGCCAGGCAGCACCAAGAACTCTTGCCCTCGCTCCAGGCTTCTTGCTCTTGTCCAAAATAGCTGCGGACACACCTCTTCCAGTCCTTCTAAAAAAGAGTTTCGGCGGCACCCGGGGTTTAGCCCGTCTATAATAATAGTAATAATAATAGTAATAATAAAATAAGAGGAGTGCTTATCATAATAATGGTATGTATTACGTAGTTATTAGATGTTATTAGTATATGTTCGTATATACACAAAGGTTTCATAAATGTTTTCTCAGAGTGCATTCAATCTGATCGCAGTTTGTCTGCCGCCATCTTTTCTCTATCCAGACATGGCTCCGCAACAGACCTGTCAATCTATCAAAGGCATTTCGCAACAGTATGAGATTGACTGGTATGAGATGAATTCAGTAATGTAAGAGAACCGGTTCAGCCACAGTACCACTGATACTCTTACTATCTAACACGCATGAGTCATGAGCACCAGGGAAGAGGAAAAACATGGAAAAACACAAGAGCCTGTGGCAATCTTTGGCGCCGATTTGGCGTACCTGCGGCATTTCAATAGTTCCTTCAGGAACTAAGGCAACTAAGGCTCTGGTACATCACCTCCTTCTCCCACCAGTGCCCAGCGGCAGCCGTCATGGTCAGGGACAAGCCCTTAGAGACGTGCTTCATCCCAAAATACAAATCCGTAATCCCCTTGGACAAAGACTGATTAATATTGATCAAACTGATTTATGAGATTTTATCTGCATGCAAGTCTGTACATTGTACTCATTATATACACTCATTGTACTTCCATGTGCGAGAATGCAAAGGAAGAAGGCGGTATTGCTCAGTAAGCATGTCCTTGCTTTGCTCAAGATGCTAAGGCCAGAAATGGCCAGAAACAGCCAGAACCTATGAGCATGGCAAGGTCTTCCACTGCGTTTTGCCACAGAGATTCCCAAATTGAAAAATCAAGGTCCTAAGGTGACCAACTTCTAAAAAAGATTTGAAATGAATAATTTCAAATAATGATAAATGCACTATTGAAATACCCGAAGTTCCATGAAACCCCACATGTTTGCTGCTTCGCCTTCATATCCCTGAGATGCAAACCCATCGTGCTAGTATCCAATGTCCACACAGAGCTGCCCACATGACATCACCATTCAGGGCCAGTCGCCGAAACGATCAGAAAGACCGTGCTCATGATCCCAATCATCACTGCCATGCAGCTGCAGCAGCAGGGCATCAACTACGATCAGATTCTCCAAAGGTTCAGTGGCCATTGGTACCATTATGTACCGTTTAAGGTCAATTACATGTCGTTACACTCCATGATATCTGGATCAGCACCAGTGACAATTCACAGAAAATCAATGTGTTCAGCAACTTTTTGTTAACCAACCCAGGAAGCGCGGCTTGAGGTATGGCAGCGACGGCAATGCATGAAGATTGAGTCCTATCCTCAAAGTTTGGCTGCTGCCATACTTGGCATTGCTATGCATTGTTCCCGTTCCCAAAGGTAAACAACAGATTTAGAATTGTAGGGAACGGTGTAGCTGGTGTAGCCTGCTTGTCAAGCCTGCAGGCAACAGGTGCACCCTCAAACCTCCCCTGCTATCTTGAAGCTGCAATAATCATCCACTTTGGCGCTTTGGGTGGGTCACAAATATAGGCGAAGCTGTTCCACCTATTATTTGATCAAGTACATCTTGGTAGTAACCGAGGAATTTATTGAAACATATTGAAACCATCAAATGGATACAAGTCGACGTCTCCGTAGCTTTGGACAACTTTGGACAGTGTGACCGAAACATCACCGTTCTCCGCTTCTCAGCTTCTCAGCTTCTCAGCCCACTTCGTCACACTTTCGTCACCATCCGAGCTTGGCCACCCCAACTCGTGCGGAAAGCGCATCAGGCGCCCAGCCGGCATCGAAACCTCATCCCGGCAGAATGCACGAACGGAAGTTGTCAGTAATGTCCACATGTGTTCACTGTGAGCAAATCATTCCAGTAAGCCAGTATGCAGTTTCGTTCAGTGTCCCATCAAAATTCAATGTCCGCCAATTTTCGTGATGACTTCAGGCGAATCGCTTCATGGTTTTAGTATGCTTTGGAGCTGTAATCAACCAGGCTTAAACAACTCATGGCTGCCATCGCTGCTTTGATTTCAATCCCCAACCTCTGGGAGCCAACTGGCCGAATATCTGTGAAGACTGGCACTCCAAAGTCTTCCATCAGAAAGTCCTGAGCAGATGGAAGACTGATACACACTATAGACATCTATAGACTATAGTTGCACCTTCCTGACATGACAGCAAACACCCAGCTTTTAAGTTGAAGTTTGGTCGGATATTTCGTGCCCTTCAGCCAGGCATCTTGCCACTCTGCGGTCTTAGCTCCTCTGATCCCTTAAGACCAAGGAAGTCGGTTCGCTTCTTGGAATTTTTTGGGTGGGATGATGTTGGCAAAGGTGACCTGTCAATTAAAAAAATGAACCTATCACTACTACAGGTGACCTATCACCATCTATCACCTGTGAAATGGAAAAATGAAGGAAATGAATTGGAAATCTGGTCACAAACTGTGCCAATCGCTAGCGACCTTGTGTGTGAGAAGGAGGTCCAAGTTCTCTGGCAGCAGCAGGCCTTTGGACTTTGCCCAGTTTTGTTGGAGTAGATGTGATTGTTGTGTCGCAAACGACTTGGCGCGGAAAATCCAGCGCTGTGCAAATCTCAAATCTGTGATCGACTCATCAATTCAATGGCTGTGTCTGTCTTGTGACGACAGAGAGGCAAACATTGAGAGGTGGGAACTACCAGTAGGTTTACAAAACTGGAGTTTGTGCTATCAACATCAACTAAGACAGCACATCGAATCACAGCCTCAAAGAAGGATTCACCGGGTGCAACCTACTGGTCGACGTTGTCTCATGCCGAGATCTGACCGACCAACTTTTGGCATCCCGGCGATGTTGAAAGATTCGCAGAGCCTGAGCAGTGCAAGCATCATCTGTAGCCATAGGATGCCATAGGCGTGAATTCGTGTTCAGTGAGTTTGATCTTTTTGATCTGTACCTCACGCTTGTGCGGCTTGTGTCTTCAAAATGTTTTGGTGCACTTCAAATCATTTGGGTGTGCACAGTATACACTGTAGATACGCTGTAGATACATCATGATATACATCATGATAAATCGCCATTTGGGGTTTTGAATTTGGCTTGGTGCATCTTGGTGCAATTTTCTGAATCTTCTCTTTCGCACGTCGCTTCACTTCGCTCAGACCAAGGTTCCTGACCATCCAAAAGGCGTGGACCTCGATGTGTAGAGTTGTGTACTTTTTGGTCCCATGTGGTCACTGCAACTTGATCAAACACATTCATAAAAAAAGATTAAAAAAAAACATGTTTTGTTTTAGAAACTGAGAAATCACAGATCACACGGACCAATGCAGCATGACCAAGGATTTGACCCTGCCATTGTCAAGACAACTTGTTGGCTCCACCTTGGCACCCAGAGCAAATGTGCGAGTCGTTGAGAGATGATTCACTGAGTTTTCTATGTTTGCTTCAATGGCGACCGCGGCAATGAAATGGTCGGCTTCAAAATTCATTCGGCATCATTCATGATTCATTCATGAGTCATTAGTATCATTAGGCTATGCATGTCGACGTTTCATGAACTTCATCTTCCTAGCTGACTACTAGAAGCATAGACATCCTACGGAATCCTACGCATCTGTTGCAGCTGATTTGTATGTTCAACCTGCTGATACCTCTGGCAGAACTGGAGGCCAAGACTGAGTCATGACCGAAACACAAAAACCATGTTTTTCTGACGGAAATTGGGGCGCCCCCGATATCATCGAGATATTTTTCATATCATTTCATGGTGGTGCCCTATCCAACCAATACCAGCATGGTTTACCATCACCCCCCAGCCCAGTTGACCTTCAAGTCTGTCTTCACCAAGCGTATTCGGCCTTGAAAAAGATGGAGCAAATCGTCCAAATCGTTTAGATTTGCTAACTGAAACCCTGTCTGAAACCCCATCGACCAATCCGGACCTTCACAGAGGTCCTTTGACCAAGTGGCACAGCACATCGCTTCGCTGTTGAAAGACTCGCTCAATGTCCTGCGGGATGAATCTCTTCCAAGCTAGTACTAGCAGTGAGGGACAAGATAAGAATACCAAGACAAGAAAAGTATAAGAACAATCGAAATAAGAAACTTTCGTGTCTTGCGATTTGCACGAAAAACGCAATACACTCTTTAAATTGGCCCACTACTTCAGGTTGCCCTTGCAGGCAACTGCACTTTGTGACTCTGGACGACTTTGGAAGACTTGGAAAGTGGTGTGTGCTCATGCAGTGTGTGAGGCTTTCAATGGCTTTCACGTATGTCACATCTTTTCACCTTCATCTTTTCATATCTTTTCCACAGCTACAGTTGACATCAGTTGACGTTGACAACTTCTCAATGCCCAGAAGGCCCGGAAGTCGATCGCGACACGGCGCTTTTCCGCATTTTCCGCCAGGCGTTGGCACGGCAGTGCAGTTCGCATTGGCTAACTGCTAGGAAACGGCAGCGCTGATGTGGCCAGTGGCTGCTGTCGTTGAAAAAGAGAGGAGAGGGAGACCAAAACAAAACAATTTTGTGCAACACATTCAACACATATCAAGGTGGTCATCAATGTCATCCATATCTCTAATTTCAAACCTTCATGCCCGAAACACAAGAGGCAGAATGCTTGAGAGTTTCAAAGTGCAACAAATTAAGACAAATGCGATTTCAAAATCTTCAACATATTTCAACTCCAAGTCCACAAATGTCCACCTGTCTCGGCATGGTCTGAGTAACAGGGACATGATGGTGACCACCCTTGGGAGCAGTTGTTTTCCTTCTCCAAATTGGTTGACTGCCCAAAGTTGGATGCTTGCGACTGTCCACCTGCTGTGGGCTCTGCTGGTTAGGTTGGCTCGGTCACGGAAGACCCGGTCAGAGTTAGCGGCGGTGGATGTGATGGCCCATGTCGTGCTTTGCTGTTATTCACCTGTCGCGCCCATGACCAATTCATAAAATCCGAAATCATCCGAAATCTGTATACGATCCCGAGATTTTTCCAACAAAATATATCAATATATCAATATAAAAACCACCTAAAAAGCGCTCAAACTCTCTAACCCCAGTCTGTTTGGGCAGCCCTCTGGTACATGGAAAAAGCACCAACGGACATATGAAGGTCACGCTTGAATTTTTCCACATGTTTCCACATTGGATACTGTATGTTCAATTCGTACCGTAACCGAAACGCTCGTCACAAGTTACTGGCTAAGGCTGACTCAACACCGGATAACACCGGGCTTCCAGATCCAGTGCACGTCCATGGCCTCCCCCCTCGTCAGAAGGAAGCGCGTATAGACATCGTTCTGTGTCTCCTCCTGGCGATGCAACTGGTCACAGCCTGCCAAATGCCAAACGAGATACTTTCAAGAAATCTGCTGAAGAAAGAAAACTCAAAAATGCTCGAAATATATCAGGATTGCAAGTCCCACGGCAAGATTGGCAGGAGAATTTTGTCCCGCTTCGCCAGCTAGTTTCAGAATCGTTAGAAGCCCATTTTAGGCCTCCAGAGATTCGAGATTTTCCAACGACTAATGACCAATTCCACATAGACTGTGCCGCTGCGCCGATTCAAAAATTTCAAAGCAGCTCAAGTGGGAAGATTCGTGGTTTCCACGAGACGTTGCTGAAGTCTTCGACAAAGAGATGGATCCTTCGCCAAGATCTTTGGCTGCGACTCGTTCCTTGGATGAAGTGATGGCGTCAAAGATCTGCCGCGGTCCATACTCATATCATATTCAGGATCCATTGAATCCATTGAATCCATGTGCAAAGTGTTCACAGGTTTCCCAGGTTTCCATTCAACATATTCAACTTATTTCAACTTTCCTTCCACAAGGAAGTACGTGATGTTCCCATTGAAACTCTGTCATTACAACAGATGCTTCTAAGGCAAGGCTCAATACCTTCTCCCAACGATCGCACTCCAACCAGAGATATCCAAAAGCCTGAAAGAGCTGAAAGAACAGCTGAGTTTCGGTTGGTTTACCCAGGTGATTTCACATGCTACATGCTCTGTGTTGGAATATTCCGGAACCAGGTATCTCAAGATATGCCCCGGACATGGCAACAAAAATTAGAAATAACCATTCCATATCCTCTAAGACTCTAAGATCTGCACGGACCACTCCAGGCCAACTGTGAATGCCAGAAAAGGGTTGTGAAAAGGGGGTATGAAAAGGGTAATGATCTGGGCGATGGCTACAGTATGAAAGGAGCAGATATTGTTTCAGGGCCTCGTTGGCTGCGCTTCGCTGTGGTAACGTGACAGCTGCACTTTGTGGAAGGCTGCGGATCACTTCCGCAGGATGTTCTCGTGCAATGACTTCCTGACCATCAAAGCTTGGATCGGAGCATTGCAGAAGGTCTGGATTGCCCCTATACACAATCAAGAATCAATCACAATCACATGAATCACATGTCACTCTTGTCCAAGCAAATCTGAATCACAAGTTACCCACGTTACCCTACCACTGCATCTATGAATCTATGCACGGGCGATTTAACCTGTTTCACCCCAAGGCCTGCACGCGAACATCATAGACTTTCGTCGGTTTGGGGCACTTCTTGTCGAACTCCTTTCCGCGGCAGCACAAACATCGGCGCTCAAAGGGACCCAAACAACCTGGGCTTGAAAGGCTTGGGGCAAGTCGAAATGTGACTCAAAAGCTTTCAGATTTCCAGTCATCTGGGAAAATGGCCTATAGATGCTGGCTACTTATAGGCCGTTGCAAAAGTTGCCTTTTTTCTTAGGCCACAACAGAGAAATCTGGAAAAATGAAAAGATTTGAAAAGGAGACACAGCAAGACACACCAAGCTACCGCGATGGATGAGGTGCCAATGATCTCCAGGAGCCTCGAAGCACACCAAACATCATGATGCATGGGATCATATGTATATATATATATATATATATATATGTATATTATATAATTATATTATATATATATACACTGGAGGATACATTGATTAAGTTTAAGTTGAAGTCTGATGGTGAATTTGTCTGGGTCATGATCAATCTGTCTTTTTTTTACAATTTTCCAGAATGATATAGAGCTGGCAGAAGGACCATGAAGCAAGAAAGGCAAGATTCAAAATTGGCCAATGGTCACAGTCCCAATCCCAACAATCACGAGGACAAACACTGCTCAAATGTCAAAAATGTAAATGTCAAGGAGCTGAAGAAGAAATCGTTAGCTTTGAGATGTCAAAGCTGGACCTCAAATCACAACAGCCTCCAAACAGCCTCCAAACAGCCTCCAAACAGCCTCCAAACAGCAAAAGTAGCGTCATCCTTTCAGAGGTTTTCCATGTGTTACTCGAGCAACAAAACACTACAGAAACCGAAGTTGCCAAGTAAATTGCCAAGCGACATGGAAGGCACTGGGCGCAGAAAAACCTTATGACAGCGGAAGCAACTCATGGGAGTCGGAATATTTCAACTAGACGAGTCTGCCGTAGATGTAAATATAAACATAATATATTATAATTATACATACATATTAATTTATATATATATGCATGCCGAACCTGAAATCAGGCTGAGTGTTGCATCACTTTTTGCATCATTTTTTCGCACCATGTTGCACCAGTCTTTTTCAAAACTGCGAAATTCATGCGAAATATCGCCCAGTGACGCCATCAGGTCTAGCACGAATGAAAGCGTCGTATCGCACACCTTCTCTGGGCTCAAAGACCTCTGTGACATAGTCGTAGGCCTAGCTCTGGCGACCGAAAGGCGCAGATTTTGCAGTCCACAGTCCAAGCCAATCATTCAATCATTATCATTACAAAAATTGACTCGCTAATTGAATCTAATTGATTATATATAATTGCTATCGCTAGTAGATGCTAGTAGTGCCACCTTGCAATGACTTGAATTGTTCACGTGCAGTCCTGAGTGCTGCCTATGGGCTCAGTGAGATTCAACTAACTTTGAGCAACCAAATATTTTGTAATGTGCTTTCAAACATAATCAACTATTATCAGACCGGTATCATATCATCTCAGATGAATTTCTCAATTTCACCCCTGCAGCCAAATGATCGAGGGACGATCTGGATGCGCTTGCATTGCGAATACATTCGCTCGTTGGCCCCCAAGACCTTTTTTGGATCTGCTCCTTCTTTGTAGAAGGGATACACGTACCTTACTGTCCACGCAAAGCCAAGAAATCAAAAACAAATGACTTCAAAATTGACAGAGCAACTCTGACTGGCAACCTCTGCACGCTTACAAGGCGCCACGGATCATGGCCAGCACTGCAGTTTGAAACCTCGAAAAGGTGTGGATAGGACTAGAGTAACTAGAGTGACTAGAGTGACTAGAGTGACTAGAGGCATCGGAGGCATCCCCTTACGCGTCCGTTTCAACGTGAAAGCACAGCCTAAAATTGTTAAACTGTTTTCGTCCGCACGACACAAAGAATCAGGAGATTTGACCTCGACAGTGACAGAGCTCTTGTCACTTTCGGCCGAGAGGCACTTGGCATGGGATAACTCGGAGGCATCAAATCCACATGGACGGGGCGCATCAAATCTCTACACCTCAGATGGTGCTGCTGCGCCACTCATTTTGAGTCCCTCATTCTGAGTGGAGAAGATGGTATTGGCCAGTGCGACTTGCACCTTTGTTTTCTAGTAAACCAAGTTATGGACTGGGTGGTTTAGCATGAACCTGCGGCACCTTCAGTATCTGGTCGGTCACCAAAGCTGGTGACCGCAAATTGAACACGCGGCTGTTGTATCTGACTTTTCTTAAGCTGTGTGAACAAACCCGAAGAAAAAAAAACAAAACATCGGGTACTGTTGCAACCGATGGACTTACTATGATAGCGGCCATCAAGTGGCCAACCATAGCCTATGGCCAGCTATGGCCATCTATGGCCATCTATAGTCATCTACGGCCTATGGCCATCCCAGGCGCGGTTGCAACAGCTGCTCCTCGAAGTTATGGCGGATCATTGTCTTATCCCGCGCCTTGAGCAGGGTTCTTTTGCTCTGTGCTCTGACCGTGACAGAATCGAGTGATCATAAGCTTTGGAGAATAGAATGCCATTCACATGCTTCTTACATTAACAATATGGATAAAAACGAAATCTCCAACAACTGCAAGTCAATGACTGACCCTCGCCTGACCCTCGTCTCAATTGTACTAGTCATACATAGGACTGCAAAGTTCATACAATCTAGAATTTCATGATGCTTGAGAATATGTATTTCGCGGCATAATGTATATATATAGTTATACTGTTATACTGTATAACTTGTATTCTGTATCTGTGGCAGTTAGATTGAGGGAGATATTCATTGTGGCCTGCTGTCACCAGTCAGCTGCCGCCCCTCGCCTGATAACTCTCCTCCAGGGCCTCTGACCAGGCAACATTTAAGCCAAGGAAAAGAAAGCACAAACCAAGGAGTTGACTGAACGTCACCCTGCGAATTTGGTATGGAAACTTCTTCTACGGATTGATTCTTCCCGTCTGCTTTTGGATTGTGGAACAATGACTTTACTATTCCTTGAATTTGGTCAGGAAGATTCAGGAAGTGTGAAACGTCACACGGGGATGCGGACGACATTAGTGCAAAACGATGCAAAATGTATATTGCAGTTGCTCATACAGTAGCACTCTTCTTCAATTTCTTCAACTACAATTTCTGCGCTACTCCCTCACAGTAACAATATGTAACAATAATACTAGTACCACTACCAGTACTACTATGTCATCATATGAATCATATGTAATTAATCACATCCTCCATCGCCAAGATGCCAGGAAGAAGAAGACATCCACGCGCCAAGTTTGCCCCTTGGCATCTGGCGATGCCAAACCTGGAAGCACTTGGGACCGACCCACGGTCCTTTCCCTCCAATGTCGTTAATTCCAAAGTGAGTCCCAAAGTATGTCCTTTGAGCGAAGAGTTACCAAGTTGTACCAAGCGTTTGGTACGTCTGGTGAAGAGAAAGTGGCGCTCTAAGAGGTAGAAGGCACCACTGAATAAAATAAGGTCAGTGTTGGAGAATGAATGACAGGTTCGCATGCATCACTGAATGCGGGACTAGAAAGTGTTGCAAAAACCAAAAACGGTCAGATTGTTTTCAGTGCATGGACGTCTCGAGAAAATAGTTCCGGCTCGCGTCCCTCATTCATGTCTTGTGCATATGCTGCATATGTTTATATTTTTCAAAATGAATCTTTATGATCTATCTAATGACAAAAAGCGTGCGAATTGATTCAATGCCACTCCCGCCTTGCAGCAGGTTCTGGTGGATGTTGCGACAGACCTCCGGCCACACCAAGGCCCGCGCTGCCCCAATGATCAACACCGCCACTGCGTGCTGCCGCTCAGCGGATGAACTGCCTTGATCGTGGAGGAAGATCAGGATTCAATTCAATCTCAAGGCAAGGTTGACCATAATTTGGATACGAATATCTCAAACACAGCTTGACTATACAACGATATACAACGTGTTTTCAAGCGGATATCAATCAATAGAGGTTGATGTCAGTTGATGTCTACTCATTGATGTGGAGTTGGGGCTCGGTGCCACTGAGTGGCCACTCTGCTCTGAAGGCGGCTTAGCGGCGAGAAACGTGCCCTGCAGGGAACTGCAGGCACCTCGCATCGCACCATTGTCTTCCAAGTGATGAAAGCATGAACTGCACGGAACATCTTGTAATCCTCTTTGGAAGGTGACTGGATAGGATAGAGGTGGATAATGGATTGACCGGATAAATCCTACCCTTTGGCAAACTTCTGTATGTCAAACTCCAAGCGTAACTTGCAATCTGTGGATTGATCAAGATCACCACGACAGATCACCACGATCATTAGTGCAGCCATGAGAACTTTTGTCCCTCTCGAATTCATTCGGAGAAGCTAGCAGCAAGTATTTCTTCCACCTCAAAAAGGGTTCAAGTGGGAGACTATGCATCTTCCGACCTCTAATGTGAAGAAGAGTTTGCGTTTGCAAAGATTAGAGGAACACTTGCAAGTGGGGAAGTAAACACACAGCATCACACAGCAACTTGCAAGTTGTCCTCTGCGCATGCCTGCATGCAAGCACGTGCAACCCTTCCACCGACGGCATTGCCTGTCACATTCCAGGACCAGCATGCCGTACTCCTTGCTTTTGCCTCCAGAATGTACTGTGCATTTCAAGATTTGAAGCAGTGTTATGCGGTACTTGGTGTTGGTTCACACGAATACACAGCAAGTTGGGCACACTAAGAGTCACACGAATAAACACTTAAGATCACTTAAGACAACGGTTGCTGAAATCAAAAGAACACACAATTTTTGGTTTGGCTGCATCTGGACTGTGTGGCCTCCGCGATGCGGTGGTTCGATCTTCATCTTCCTTGGCAACACCAAACATGAATTCTGAATGAATCTGAGCAAACTCCAACGAAGAAAGAAACGGACAGCTGAAATTAGCTGAGTAGCCTGTACATGTGTACACAATCCAATACAGATCACTAACTTGCAGGATCGAGATTATATAAACACATGAACATGTTTAAGTTTGGTTCCACAAACAAAACATTTGTATCATTGTCATGGAAATCACCTGGTATGGTCTTCCAAAGCAGAACTTAAGAAATCCATGGAGGAGCTGGAGGCAACATTTTTTTTGGTAAATTATATATATATATCATTACAATGATGTGCCTTGACTTAAGATGGACTTAGGGGCTTTATAAATGGACTTAGGGAAATGAGGTTCAAGTTATGTTAAATTATGTTATAGGTTTTGCAAGTTAAGTTATATATTTTGTATTTTTTGGCGTTAAACATCTGTTAAATTTGGTATTTTTCGGAAATTGTCATGCGATTTTGGGAAGTTCCGTTTTTCCCGCTGCATGTCGTTTCCTTGGCTTTTGATCTCGAAATGTCAACCTCGCCTGGCCTCTGTCGAGATCGTGCTCGCAGCTGCAACTGCAGCGCACACAAATATAATGCTACGGCAAGCAGGCAAACTTGAAATCATATTGATATACTGTATACGCACACTGCTGCAACTACCGGAGCACCATGCGCTGGGTCACTTTTTCAAACTCAAGGAGCCTCTCCAGTATGATGTTGAGTCTTTGTTTCCTCTTTTGGCAGGTGTCAGGCCACAGGACTTCCCAGAACCACGTCTTGAGGCACCACAGGCAGAGCAAGCACTGCCACCCCCTGCAGGGCCAGTTGAACCACCGGTACTTCCAAGGGAAGAGTGTCACCCCAGCCCATTGCAGACGGAGCTGAGGAAATGGATGTAGAAGCAGGTGAGGCGGGCGCAGGTCCTGAGCCCATGACGATCGATAGAGTCGATGTAGGTCAAGAAAGGGAAGGGTCTGACGAGGAAGAAGGGGACACGCGGTTGAACAACCTTATCCTTCAGACGCAGGCAGACATGTGGAACACGTTCTGTGATATGTGCTTACTGCAAGACTGAAACATGAAGCTTGCTCTTGCCAAGCGACAGCCGCAGCAATCCCCGCTTTGTCCCAGGCCCGTTCTCGCTCCAGCTCTGCGCCAGGTGGCGTGGATACTGGAAGCAGTACCGAAGCAGAAGCCATACCTGATTGGAAATAGGTGTTGATGTGCGAATGGGCTTGCATTTCCTTCAGGGTGTGCTTTTTTGTTCTCCGCCTCTTGCCATCCTTCAACCGAGGCGGGGCCAGATTCGCACACCTGTCAAACTGCGCCAGTAGTTCGTTCCGAGCGGCCATCTTGCCGAGCTTGTGAAGCCGATTCTTCCAGAGGCGATTGCCTGGATGCCGTCGATCGGACTTCGGACTTCAGGACAGCCGTGACTTCGGCCCGGTAGTCCCCCAACCTGTCGCCCTTTGTCAGGTGACTAAGCTGCAGAGCAGGCAGCAAGTAGTGATGCTGCCGTGCTTCACTTGGTGCATAACGACAATGCAGGCGAGTTTGCTGGGGGGAGCAGAGAAGATCGCCAAGACGTACGCGTGAGAAAAAGCTGCAGCAAACCCGAAATCAAACAAACTGGAAGAAAAAGGAGTCAGGTACAACTAGATTACCTGGTGGCATCGTTCTCCAAGGATTCTGCCGTTATGCCGTAGAGCATTCAATCAACAGGGTCTGCAACGTGGTCAACTAAAACAACCAAGAAGCTCCAGCAACGCGTCCACGAAGGCTTGAGATCCGAACCACGTAATCAAGTAGCACGTCTGATATGCTGCCTCCTTGGGACAGACATCCAACATTTCGGCTGTGTGTTCCAGCAGTCAAACTGGACTTGCAGCGGACATGTTTGGTTTGGAAGTCCGGCTGACAACACGGATCCAGAAAGTACCGTCTCCATCCGCAACCATCAGAGTTCCGCAGGTCGTTGGGTGGCAATACAACAACTGCAAGAAAATAAAAGGATGTGACGTTGATCCAGAGCCAAGAAACTGATGTCATAACCTCATCTAGTGTCGTCGGGGGTCTCTGGCGACCATCTCCAAAGCGCAAAGCCACGGGCCTGCGCCCAAACGTTAGGAGGGATTGCTTCCGATCAGCGTAGAGGCAGCAGAAGATCACCAGTGAGAGCTGTTCGCCCTGGCTGGACGTAATGCGAGGGTACTCCATTGCACTGACAGGTGGAAGCTCTTTATTGTCGGCGTGGCTGGTAGGCTTTGGTTCATGCCGGTCCACGGGTGGTTGCCTATACCTGGTAAGATGCATCCGCAATGCCTGCTTTGTAGCATGGTGGCGAATGATGGCAAAGATATTGCTTTCTGGACATGGAACGTCTAGAGATGCTGCAGCTTTGAATACGAATACGCTGCATGGTTTGTTGAAAAGTCATTGTCTTATGTACGGGCTTCATACTTCACACTATAGCTGGATGTACGCAATGGAGTTCGGAGCCAAAACATATGATCCCGTGCGGCATGTGTACCTGTGTTTCCCACGCATACACAACGCAGATGTTGCATGGATATGTACAGCTTGTCAGTATATGATTTTTATAGATCTACATATATTGACATACATGTCAGGGCTAATATGTTCTGAGAGCATCGCATATAGATGTGGAAACGCATTTTTAACACATACGCGTTTACAATCACTTTTGATGCCTCTGCGTGGAAACACATACGTATTTACTTGTTCTGGACGTGCAAAATCTAGAAACACATGCACGTTTCCTTGTTTTCTTCTCCAAACAACAGGAAACACATGCGCGTTCCACGCCAACCTTCTCTCATCTTCTCTTAAACAACAGGAAACGCCAGGATTTGAAGTCCTGCAGCGTCGCTCTCTGTGCTATCACATTTCAGCTGCAGCCATGCTTCCCGAGAAATTGTGCTCCACTTGAGCAGAAAAATTGTCCTGCCATAGAAAAACATCCGTTTCCAGGCCAAAAAACAGCTATCGTTGCTAACTTTTTTGTATTTGTTTGATGTATCTGCTATCTAATGTTATATTTCCCTATCTGTTGATATAACTTTAACATGACTTATACAAGAAATCAATTACACAACATATAAAATGATTTGCATCTCAAGGTACATCATTGTATAGTATATATCATTATATATTAGAACTCCTTATGTATACTGTTCAAAATGACATTGAGGTTTGTCTAGATTATGTTTAGAGTTTAGATTCTGTGTTGGGTATTCCGTTCTCCGGGGGGGCACAAATGAAGACAGGTTCCTAGCACAGTAGCTGCAAAAAGCCGTCGTCTGAGGAAATGAGGAGGTGATGCAAATGTGTGACGTGTTCGACGCAAACATGTTTGAAATTCTTCCAGCATGGTTGAAACATGTTTTTAAAAAAGCGAAGATGTCTTGGACCCTCTCCGATTGTCGGATCTCGACCAGGTGTCTTCGCAAAGGAGATAGGTTTCTCCCGTGCCACGACGGCTTGCACTGCCACATCCGTGACATTCAGAGTGCCCTTGGGGCAAAAGTCATCGTATTCCTCGCCTTGGCATCGCCTTGGTCAAAGACATCAGAATCATCAGAAAATCCAGAACATGCAATACTGATATATCTATATATATATTATATATCAAGACTGATTATAAAATATTATAAATAATTTCATGTATATATCATTTGTCATCATTTGTAATTGGATTTCAGTTCTTGTACTGAAGACTTACAGCTTCTTGTCGGGAAGTTTAACATTGGTAAGACCCTATTACTCATGCCAAAAAGTTGGGGTCTTTTGCTTCTGCAGAATATCATGCAACCAGTCTTACCAGTAACGAGGTGTTGAGTGGGTTGAGTCACAACAATGAGAGGAATTTTTACATCATGAACCTAAATGCAAGATGCCGAAATCAGCCAAGGCACAGGCAATGTCGACGCTTTGGTCCACTGCAGCCTGCCCCAGGCGATCTCAGTCTCATGATGTCTCATGATTAAAAGGTCGAAAGGCCGCTCAAATACTCAGCAATGCCTTAACCCATGGAGTCTCAACGGTATCTGGCATAATAATGATTAATAATGATTAATAATGTATACTATGTCTCCATGTGTCTCCATATGTCTCCTTCAGTTTTGTCTGTGGGATGGCCTCGGTGCACAATGTGCCAATGATCGCCCGGAGCCGTGGAGGCCGTTGTGATCCTTGTGAGTAAGAATTCCATATTCAATGGTGCGCTCTGGTAGAGATATGTGCAAATGTGCCATTGAATTTGTATATATATTATATATATATATATTATATATATATATATTATATATATATTATATATATATTATATATATATGGTTTTTTTAATGAAGAGGTGTGACATCTTGTGACAAGATGATGGCAAATCAACAGATTCGGAGCAGATTCCATGCACAATTCTGGATCTCTCGATTGACACTTCGCTTGGGTCGAAGTCCTGGAGAGATTGAAGTGAGGAATTGGTGGTACATCTTGCAGGTAAATACTGTCGGGTCCTCAGCAATCAAGCTTCTCAGACGTAACAGACGCAACAGAGACATCTCCATCCCCAAATTCGTGGGGGACCCCAGGTGTTTGGCAACACCCTGCAGTCCCGGCACTTGCTCGGATCATGGCTGCATATCTCACCTGATGCTGCGGCTCATAGACATTCAAAACATAGTCATAAGCTGCTTGTTGTCCTTGGCGCTACAAGGTGCATCAGAACGCATGGCGATGACTATGTTTTTTAGCTTCTAGCGGGCTTGTGCTTGCAAATGCAACCACTTTCAATGACCAGAGCCTTGTTTTATTGCCATTTTACATCAATGAATCAATGCTGTCAATGCTGAATATCCGCATTTCACATTCCCAGTTTTGTGAATGCAAACCCTTTGAGTCTAGCAGCGATAGCACTGTGAATACATGCGCTCGCTTGCACCTGCGCACAGGGCCGATATTGAAGTCGAGGAGGGATGAGTAGGGATGAGATGGAAAAAGAGAAGAATGATGGCTACGATGGTATTCTCGCATGCGAGTCTATCAGTCTATCCGCAAGCAACAGGGCATCAAATTGAAATCCATTGGAATCCTATGATACTATGGATTTCTATCCGATTTCTATCCCGCCTGGGACGTGCCATAGCTCTGTCTGCACTGCATAGCTGGGCTCCTGCCCGGCGCTGCAGTTGTGATGCTTTGGCATTTCGTAGGTCGGAGGCATCCACCTCAATCTCCAATCTCTGGCAATCTCTGGCAATCTCTGGCGCAATGCAGGATTTCTCCCAAGGTCAGATAGGAATTGCAATGTGCTCAGAGATTCGGCTAAGATTTCGCCTGATAGTGTGAAGCCTCACCCCACACCCACCCATTCCAGCAATTCCATGCAATTCCGAGGTTTCATGTCCAGCCACTCCGTATGGACTGGCTTCAGCAAGTCTTTGCAATACCTCAGCAATTGGGAAATTGTGAATCCATCTGGCAAAAGGCTAGGGGAAAAGATGTGATTTAAGTCATTTAAGTCATACTGGTGTGCGTGTGTATACATTATTCAATAATATCATGTTAATATAATTAATGGCTATCTACCTACCTACTAGTATCCATCTATCTAATCTAACCTGATCTAATGCAATAGAATCGAATCGAATTGAATCTACAGTCATCTCATCCAATCTAATGCAATATCTACACAATTTGAACCCGAGAAAATCAGAAGATCTCAGTACAATGGCCGCACCGAGGGGCTGAAGCTGTGATGCTTGGGCGTCACGCTGCACACGCCACTGGTCGATCTTGCCGTCCGGAGGATCATCCAAGGCCAAAAAGAAAAAGACCTCCGCGTGGCCACAGGACATTTGCCGCCGAGGTTCTGCGGGACAATGCGGGACATTTCAACTGGATTCTGTCTCAACCGTGGGTTCTGGTGCTTCGTTCATCTTTCGTTTCTCATCCTTCAATCCACCAAAAATCACCTACAAAAATCACCTAAAATCATAAATGCCGGTGGAAAGCTGCAGAAAAGGCAAACACATGGCATCTATGTACACAAAACTAGATCATCTAGATCCAAAGGTCAAGACGTCAAGACTCGCAACTTCAAACGCGACAAACTCATCCTGCCATTTCGGAGAAAGTATGGCTCTGATTTAGACCAGAACATGGCGCTGAGATTGTCACTCGACATGGGTCACGAGGGTCACGAGGGTCACAAACGATGTGGAATGATGTGGATGAAGGTTGATTGAATGCCAGTCGCCAATCCAAGCGTATGTAAACTCAGTGTGTGCCGAGAGGCATCGATTTCCCATGATGGCTGTCCTGGGACAGGCCTCCTGAGCATACAGAAATGTCCTAAAGGGACTGCAAGCATATCTGAAAACATTGAACGACAAATCTGGAATCTATATGAATCAATCACAATCGAACCCTTTTCATCCCTTTTCAATCCTTTTCACGTGAGGAAAAATGGCCTGAAGATGCAGCCATCCGGACAGGGTTGGCTCATTGCCTTCAAAGCGCAACAATGTCTCTTTATGTCTCTTTACACTTGTCATAAAAGTTTCAAAATGCTGCGGGCCAAGTCTCGTTATAGCCTCGAGAAAGCGACTCTTGATATTCTCACAGACTGCCCGCCACACCATGGCCCGTGCAGCACCGATGAACAGTACTGCAGCGCGTGGCACACTTGTGGATTGCTCCGCGTCTGCTGCCTCTGCTGCTGGCCTGAGGGTAGTGATTCTGTCCTTTTCGCGGGGAATTGTGACACACAGCATGATACAAAATGATACGCAAAGAAACGAAGCAGCTGCAAGACCATCGGCTGACTGCGAACCAGGAACTTTGCAGCTAGCTCGGCTTGCTCGGTTTGCTCTTTCTCTCCACGGGAAGCCAGAGAGTCTTCTGTGGATCCCTCAGCAAGGTGGAACGTAGCACTCGGGGCTTGTCTCACTCAAAGTTGTGATTCATGATCCATCATGGTCCTCTCTGGTCCTCTCAACCGTCTATGAAGGTTTGAGTTGGAAGATGTTGGAAGCCCATTGGAAGCTCTGACCAAATCTCACTGACTCCGGAGGACTGATACACCATGACACGCCAACGGTTCCAAGATGTTCCAAGATGTTCCGAGTACCAATGGGTAAAAGCATGTAAAAACTAGTCATCAAAGGGATGGGTGGAAGGATTTGTCACGGAGGTCAACAAACGCAAGCCTGGGCTATCTTTTGTAGTCCTTTGCGCTTATCAGGCTTATCACATCCAATCCTTTCATTTTTTTGCTCAGACTACATAGCTTGAAATTCAGATTCGCAGCTGCCACTGCCACCCGTTCCACCACTTTGGCATTTCAAGACACTGAGACCAAAACCAACTGGTCGATCTGTGGTGTCTTTGGCACTGGAGGCCTTGACACGGCAAACAGAGGCGTTCAAACAAGCACAGTGAGACACGGCCAGTACTGCTCTCTAAGTCTATTGGATTGGAGTTGTCACAAGGCAGTTTGAACTCTGAACATACACATCTTGCCATCTTGCCATGTCGCTCTTGCAAGATTCATGACGTGGAGAATCAACCACCAGCAGGATGGCAACGCGATTTGGGGATCAAAGATTAACACGTCCCCGATCAATCAAAAATTGAACAGTGCTCAAAACCTTCTGTCCTCCCGATGGTTGAAGGTGATAACGGTGATAACAAGTACAGTAACAAGCCCAATTAGACCACTTAGTATAACCTGGTCTAAATATAGAACCATCAACCAATAAAGTCAACAAAGGTGTTGGGCATTGCTCACTTCCAAGGTCTTGGTTGGTCCCCCGTCCCTGCCAGCTCTGCCCAGCTCAGTCGCGGGTGTATTCGGTAGATCTGCAGCACCATGCCTGTTCCCGCCGAGGAAAATACCCTTGGCCCTTGCCAAAATGCCAAAATACCACTGAAGTGGGAGATAGCGCATTGCATGTTCTCAGGACAGGATCCACAACGTGTTCGTGCAAAAATCCTTAAGTAATCTTTTCCGCAGGAAAGAATTAGAGTAGAGCATGTCATCAGACCCACAACTTGGTTTCAATTGGGAAGAGTTCAGCACTCGAGGGTAGCACCCTGAATTCTCTATGATAGTTTTACATCAAAACTCGAGTGTCACTTGCACCATCCAAACACACGGAATCCCGGAACATCCCGGAACATCACGGAACATCACGGAATCGTGTCACCAAGGAACTGCCAAATCCTCCGAGGCTCAAGAGACCGAGACATCGCCAGAAGCGGCCCATGGCGCGTCGACGTGCCGTGGTCCATGGCGATCAGAACTGTCGTCGCTGGATGTCGCGGTCCCTCTGCTCAGCTCTTGACGGTAAGATTTCAGGGGCTGAGATGGATCTAAAAGTTAGATCATCAGATCAGTTAGATATATTTTGATGACTTGTTGATGAATTTGTGTGTCACTCTGTCGATCTGGTGTCCAGCCTGACTGTGACTTGCTGAGGTGTGGATGTGAAATATCATGAAATATCATGAAACATCACTATGGTCTTTAAAGATCCCTTGACATTCTTAGGTTGAAAACAATCATTGATCCGCAGGATTCTAGCTTAAAGCCACACAGCTTGCGATGCACATGGCTAGTCCCAGCTGTAAGGGCGCGACATCTGCATCAAACAGTTGCAATTGTCTCTGACCTCTGACCTCTGTTGAAATCTGTCTACTCACATGCCTATTTTGCGTAGAATTTTCCCGTGAAGCCAACAAGTGACTACTTTGGCAAAATCACAAGACTTCTTCCAGCATAATCATTCAATCCACCTACTTCCAAGCTGATTTCTTTCATTCAATCCACAACTTGAAACAAGTCGAACAGTCGAACACATTGGGTCCGGACGACTCCTTCCAAGAATATCCCTTTGAGACCAGGTAGGCCAAATACTCTCGGAAGTGTGGGCGGGATTTGCTAGGCACCTGGCTATGAGTTTGCACGTCTGCGGATCTGCGGGCCACATCGGGCCACCCATTTTAAGGCCCTGCTAAATCGAATTTTCAAAATAGGATAAGCAAGAGCGTCACGTTGGGCCCGTTACGACCTTACCACTCACATCGACTTACAACCTCTCTTTATGCCTTCTTCACAAGCATCATGAGCCCAAGAATGACTTTCAGGAGAAACAACAAAAGTGATGAACAACAAAGAACAACGAAGAACAGTTTGCGTTATCAAAGCAACTTCGAACAAAGCACACAACACTGCGTGTCACTGCGTGCAGCACCTGCAGCCCCACCAGCACACGAGCCACGTCGGCACCATGGCCGCGGTAGTGGAAAAGCGACACGTTAAAATCTGCCGGGACGGGACTGCATTTGAAATGGTTTGAAAGCCATTACTCACGGTGCGTTGAAATGTTTCGAATGTTTAGAAATCGAGCAGTCTCAAAAAGCGGTTTTGTTTAATCTAACCAGACTACCTGGAGACGTGAATTCCTGGGCCTTCAAAAAGTCATGATTCCGCACAGCTATTTAGCACCTGATGGGAGCTGCTCCAGGAACTTCATCAAAGCTCCAGGTTTCTCTGGGAATTCAAAGCTGAAGAGACCTTCCTGTCGAGACAAGCTGCGCACTGCTTCGCACTGGTTTCAGCGTTTCACCACGGGTCGGTTTCTGTGAAAAACGAGGATGCACCTCGGCCGTAAGCTCCACTGGCGCGCGGCCACCTGACCGCACTCAGCCAGGTGTCTGACGCAACGTATCCGCACATATCCACAGTATCTGATATCTCTGCCGTTGGATAGTCATTGTGACATATAACGAATGACAACCAACATCAACACAAACATAACAATTGAACATAATGAATCAATACAAAAATAATGACACGACAACCTGACCTTTTGGACAGGGTGGATCCTGGATGATCGCACATGATCAAGTTTCTTTTCCCGAGTAAGCTTTGGCACAACTTCTAAAGCGGCATCCAGTTCTGAAGTGGTATCCAGCCCCCAATAGGTGTTTTATATATATATATAATTATATATATATATGCACATGTTTCAAACAACTTCACTGCAGGATAGTGCCAGAATGGGATGCCATCAACGGTGCCTATGAGTCTTTTTCCATGGGTCTTGGCCAACTCGTTCTGACTGAGATCCAGCACATCGTAGCCCGAAGACCTGGCAACTGAGCTGTCACAGTTACTCCGAGTTACTCCGTTGCGTAGAGATCTGAAGGGGAGCAACATGGAGCAACATGCAGCAACTTAGTTTTCTATTTGTTTTTCTATGTTTGACCGGATGTTTCGGTTTCTCATGGTTTCCCTCAGCATCTGTGCATGGCCCACATGGCCCACATGGCCCACATGGCCACCGCCTCAAACTGTCGATGGCCTTTTGCCGATCCGCATCGGAGGTGGCCTCAACGGGTGATCCTTTCCCACCAAGCAACAGCTCTGATGGAGATATGCTGATAATACGAAGTGGTTACATGCTATGCCTGATATCCATGCTGGATGTTTGGCAGTAGTTTCCAAATGTTGGTGAGAGTTCCCATACATTACATACATTCTATACATTACATATACAATATATACTGTACATACTGTACATACTGTACATACTGTACATACTGTACATACTGTACATACTGTACATACTGTACATACTGTACCATCTTCCGTGAAATCAACATGGATCAACATGGATCAGCATCACAGCCCTTGCCATCCTACCGAAGCCATGCCTGAAAGCTCATGAAGATACTGGCAGGATTTCCACCAATGCGGTAGGAAAACTCCTGTGATGATCTGGTCTTGGCTGTACTCCGTGTGCAGAAGAGGTCGAAGATTCATGGTACTTGGGGAACTTACTTATGTACAGTATTCTGGGTTTACTTATGCGCAGTATTCTGGCAGTGAGTGTTGACATTCATATCTGGACTGCTCCATTTGGTCAATGATCTAGCATCTAACTGACAGAAGATCAAAGACATTCAAAAAGAACATGTCAATGTAACATCGCTTCCATTGTCTTCCACCACCCATGTTCCGTGACGTTGCGCGGGAAAATGAGACGGTAGAAGTCGATAAAAGCTCCTGCAACATTGATGTAGGCTGATGTGACCAGTATTTTACAACTAAAAAAACACGACATCTGCACTGGTGATCTCTATCTTGACTGGTGGATGTTCTGCGAGAAAACACTATAGCAAGGACACAAGATGTGCATGCTTTCAAGATATCGAAAGATAAAACAGCTGCGGACTCATGACTTAGCCAATGACACAGCTGCATCTACACCACCCGCGCCTGGTTTTTCAGGAATATAAACTGCCTGGGCTCAAAGGGTGGGAAGCTTGTTCCCAGGCTGGCACTCCTGTCTATGGCTTGTTCTCCGCAGATCCTGTTGGTTCATGTTAGTTCCAAATAGTTCCAAATAGTTCCAAGTTCATGGCTTGGTGCCATTAAACATCATCAAACATCATCAAACCATGTCCCGAGATTTCCCAACCCGAGGGAAGAGAGTGGCGTCTGCCCAGCTGCGATGTGCGTCTCGGAGGTATCTGCTCGTTCAGACACGAAGCGCAACCGATCCTTGGCGGGACACAATGAATCGACTGATCCAAAGTTCGTCTTTGCTAAAGTGATATCAAGTGTAATCGGCAAGATTATAATTTTTATAATCATCAACTGTAATGATGAGATATTAATGATGTTATGATGAGTTGTACCTGTAACATCCTGTAACGTCTAAACTCACATGAATGTCACAGACTTTTGCAGGGAAGGCAGCAGCCAGTCTTAAATCCGAGTCTCGAAATCCATGTTGGCACCACTGCTCACTGCAACCAAGGTCCCCCCCTGTCGCAAGTGGATGATCATGACTGATCATGGAGATGATTTTCAATGATTTTGCAGGTTCAAAAGAATTTGCCCCGCCTCCCGGTCGCCGCTCTCGGCGTAGCGCTTCAGCCCGGCCGTGGCCAAGGCGCCCGCGGGCTCCAGGACCACACCTCATTTCGACAAAAAAGGAACGTATGCCTTTCGAAAAAAGGAACCTAAAGGAATTTATGGAAAACGATGGAAAACGTATTATCTTTCAGAATATGACATCAGAGGATTTGGGTGTTGAAAAAAGATTGTATCCATCAATCCTATTCTTGAAGAACAAGCAAGTAGTTCAAGTCTCCAATTCAAATTTCGATTAGAGTTCAGATCATTCACTTGTTACGTCACAAGACACCTGGTACAATGCAGCCATGACACGGGTATCTTTGAAGGAATCCTTGATGGCAGCACAGATCTCGTCCTAGGCATGGGAGAGCAGCTTTCCCGGGGACAAACCATGACAAACCATGACAAACCCTACACAACCTGCTGTACATATCTGTACATCCAGCCCCAAGATCTCCCAAGATCTCCCAAGGCACTGTGGAGACGGTGATCATGTCATCCACGTGATTGGAGCAAAGGCGAAACGTTTCATCCCCCACTCGCGCCACCTGGGCAAACGCTCAGAGCCCAATGATCCCGACGATCTCAGGACACCGATCCGGCCACATCTTTTCACAAACGAGTATACAAGATTATACAAGAAGATACAAGAAGTGTCTTTTTGAAAGGTGGAAATGGTCAGGCTGAATATGGCTGAATAGTCGTACAATGTTATGAACTTTTGATTTTGATTTTGTCCGCAGGTCAAATACGGATTTCAGGCATATGCAGGAAGTACGGTCAATGTGCAAGGAACATCAAGGAACATCAAGGAGCTCCCGGGATTTCAGAAGTTTTAGGATCTCTTCCCGTGGCAATCGTGCCGGATCCCTTGTGGTTTCACAATGTATCATCCCTGCAGGCTGAGGGACGGCAGCACCATCTGCAAAGAGGCCGACCTCAGCAAATCTCGGCTTAACGGCTGTTGCTATGACCAGTCCTTTGTCTCAAAACAGACACAGCATGACACAGTTACAGCTAAATCATGTGAAATCTAACTGTGACAACCTCTCCGCTGTCAAGTCTGTATTTCTGTGGCAATGCCACCATGCCCGAAAGGATTCTGTGTGTGGCCGTCTAGTGCCAGTATATATACTGTAGTGTTTTAGAGAGAGATTTCTTTATGTATGTAATGTAATGTAATGTAATGTAATGTAATGTAATGTAGTGTGGTGTGGTGTGGTGTGGTGTAGTGTAGTGTAATGTAATGTAGTGTGGTGTGGTGTGGTGTGGAGTAGTGTAGTGTAGTGTAGTGTAATGTAGTGTGGTGTGGTGTGGAGTAGTGTAGTGTAGTGTAGTGTAGTGTAGTGTAGTGTAATGTAATGTAATGTAATGTAATGTATGTATGCATGCATGCATGCACGTATGTATGTAAGTATGTACGTACGTACGTATTGTATTTTATGTATAGACTCATGACATATACATTTATGCCAATTTCACTCTTCCAGCTGAGACACTGAAGGTAATGTTACAATCTCCTTGGCACGAAGACTCTCGGTCATCGCAGCACTGTCGATCGCTTCGACACCGATGACCTTCGATGCGCAACGAAGTGACATCATGGAATTGAAACCATGAAGACTCGAAGACCATTGATCCTTTGCTTCCCTGTGCCTGATCGAGGCTTACCAAAATGCCAAATGCCGCAGCTTGTTGGTGATCAAATATCAAATGTTCCATTGAGGTAGCTCACGATCTCATCTTCGTCATCAGTTTGAATATGACTCAGAGACAACTGGGATCTGTATGATGTGTTTGAATCCGGCTTGAGTTGCACATCTGCCGAATTTCAAGTCGCATCCCTCCTTTGCCCCACCCGGCCTTGATCTCAGGCTTCACAGCCTTCAGAAAAGCAGCCACACCCGCCAAGAGACCGCCACCGCCCACGCAGCAGAACACGGCCTCCACCTCTTCCTACCGTCGCTGTGAGAAAAGTTGTGAGAAGTTGTGAGAAGCGGTTCCTGATACAACATGGTTCTTCTCAAAGGAACGCAACCACAACCATTTTGCCAGCTCCCACGAAGACCAGAACACTGCTTGGAAAAAACAGAGGGACTGCTTCCACTAATAGTCCTGATTCATCATGATCATGATTCATTATGATATTGGGAGAACCCAACAGTTGATGCGACGTGCTTCAGCCTGTGTGTCCTGTCTTGCTGTCTGTTTTTGGATCTCTGTGCATGGATGGAAGATGATGGAAGAATGGCAAACGGCACAGCGATGCTGAAAAGTTGGTCTTGCGATTCCATTTCCCACTCTGCCCACTCTGCCCACTCTGCCCACTCTGCCCACTCTGCCCACTCTGCCCACTCTGCACCTTTGTCGTCTGCTCAAGGATCTCCTAGACAGGTCACTGGGGTCACTAGGGCTTGTGATGGCTTTCTATCTGTCCATATTGTCGGAAGTTTGACTTCTAAACTTCCTTGATGCTTCCGAGCGAAGCCAGTCTTTATGCTCACTTTCAGGTTGATGAACAGCCATGCCAGTTGTGTAGTAACTACATCGTATTACATCACTTTACAATGTGTCAAACAGCTTGGTAATTGTTGGAAGGTTCTCCAAATGGTCCTTTTACATCCTTTTACCAGGACGCTCACTCACTCGACACTTGCCTTGCCAATGGTGCCTTGCCCAGCAATCACCAAGGGATCGTTGAACCTCAGAATGTCTCAAAAGGTGGTTGACACAGTTGACACAACAATCTCTCACCGCAGCATTGTTGGAATGCGTATTGATGACTTTTGATGACCCTATTGATCCCTGTTGATCCCTGTCTCAAACTCTGGGGTTAAGGCTGGTCTTTCAATATATGTCTGCATCCCGGGCTGACGCCTGACTCCCCCTGGCTCTAAGACAAGCAGCGGATGCACAAGGACTCGGCCTTCAGCTTTCATGCATTCCTTGGTCCAAGTTCCGTTTTCATAGAGAAACTAACCACAAGACTTACAACCCTCTGAGGGTCATGACTTGGCTGCAGTATTCAAGATTCGCATTGAAAAGAGTCGCTGTGAATGCCGTACACCAGTCAAGGTCTTACAAAGTCTTACAAAGTCTTACAAAGTCTTACAAGGCTTGTGGTCCAGAAATGTCCAGAAACAAGTTGCTGGACTGGATCCAGTCGGACCAGGATTCAACTTCGCTGTCCCTCCCAACATGTCCCAACAGGTGATGCCTAGAGGCCAGTGTGGCAGCATAAGCTGCATCATAGTTGTCTCCAACGAGAATGACTTCGGACTTCGCGTTGGAGAACCTCCCGGAGGTTTGGCTTTGCTCAGCTTTGTTCATCGCGCAGAATGTCAGATGTTTGAGATCGATCTGCCCTCTGGATTGCAAATGGAAATGGAAGCGTCAAAATAACAGACACATAAGACACATATACAAGTACCAAAACATGATACATGTTCATACATGATCATATATGAGCATACATAGATATAGGATGATATAGGCAGATTGGTACAGTCACTGCGTTTCTTGATCTTTGGAAATCGTCAAGCTGGGATCTTCCTGCAGCGAAGCACCTGCGCACTGCGTCCACCTTGATGTTGGGCGTTGTCTGTGGCATAAAGATCTTTGCCTGGCGAAGTGAGAAGGCCTTGAAGGAAGTGAAAACATGAAGCCCCAGGCATTGGATCCTTAGATGTCAACCCTTAGCCCCCGGGCCCTTGGTGGTTCAAGGATCTAACAGCTTTACAGATCTTGGCCTCTTGGCCTCTTGGCATTGCTTTGAGATCCGAATGACCCTCACCCGAGTCGCACCGAGATGTCCAGAGCAGCTGCGGAGAAGGCCACGCCCTGCGCGTGGTTCCCAGCGGAGCAGGCGCAAATGCCCATGGCCTGCGCAAAGAATCCAATGTCTTTGTCTCAATTCTTTGTCCACATTGGAGTTTAGAGCGATAATTATGGCAGCTATTGGCAACTGTTGATCAAATTGAGATCAGCATGCTATAGGCATGGTTCCTTACTCACGCTACTGATAGGTTTCCACGTCAAAAGATCTTTGCCACTCATCCTGCTCACCTCCTCACTCTGTTTTCGCAGACAAACCGCATGATATCGAATGATCATATTGGCCATATATATGATATATATGGCCAAACATGCCAAAATCGCATTAGCCAAGGCAGTTGAACTCTGTTAAACTCTCTGGCCTTTTCCTCCGGCGTCCTCAGCTTGTGATTTTGTCCACATGGAGCCCACCACATTTGGAATTGGGATGACTTTGGTCGCGCAAAAGTGCCATGGGCTGGTTCTGTTGCTTTTTTGCACTTCTCTCAAAACTTGGGGGACACAGACCATGGCACTTTTGAAAGTTTGAATCCATGGCATCCAAATGGTGTCTGTGAAAAAAGAGATCAAATTGTTGAGATGAAGTGCTACAGAGCAAGTGGTTTCTGCAGAGTGGATTGCAAGGCTTGAAAGAACTCTCCAAAGCATGTGATAGACCATTTGGAGTCTTAGAGGTATATATAAACATAAGTTGAGTCGAATGGGGTAGATTGCAAGCAGCAATCTACTTACCGACCAAACCAAATAGCCGAAACTGGCTTGGCCAAGCTTGGCCAAGCTTAGCCAAGCTTCAAATTCACGATCTTGTTGTAAGCACCTCTCAGCTTGAAGCTGTAGACACTTTGTTGGTCTTCACCTGCACACGATGTTCGGAGCATTCGCAGCAACAGGCAAATCAGGACGAAACCGCCGCCAAGTCGCGTTTAAAGAAGACCCGGCTGCCAGTGCTCTTCGAGAGTCCAGGGGCAAAGTGCAAATCAGTTCTTTTGCAAACGTCATAGACCTGCAAAGGTCCAAAGTGTATCAAAGTGTCTGATGTCACACTTGCAGATACGACGGTAATTACGGAAATACCCAACACTCTCTGCCAGATCACCCTATTGTCAATTTAGAGACATTTACTGTAGAGTGTATTTCTACACCGCTGAACACTACAGCTGTTGCTCTTGCGAGCCTTCGCATTCAGAATCATGTTGAGATAGGCGCTGTGGTCCTGAGCTTCTATGGACATCTGTGGGTGAAACCAACGTGCAAAATGCTGGAGGAAGCATCAGGCGCAACAAAGTGTGGCATACGACGTGGCACTGCAATGCAAACCCAGCTTCCAGCACCTCACTAAATCCACGAAGCTGCATACGTGGCACACGACGTGTCCCACGCGGAACAAGACCAGCCATGGCGCGTGGCACCATTGCGCAGTTCCGTGGGCAGCACGCCACAACTTCTACGGCTATGACAATCAAGGACACCAAGTGCATCTCTCGCTATCAAGACATGCATTCTCCCGTTTGGATTGAAAAGACTTTAAGATATGATATTTTGGTGCTCAGGTGCTCATATGGAAGTACTGAGATTTGGACTCCCCGAGTGATGCTGCTGAAAGATGCTGAAAGATTAAATTGATATAAATTGATTAAACCTGGAGAACTCTTTTACTCTTTTGCCTGTATCTTTTGTGTTGGCGGATACCGTCTCCGGTCATTGAAAATTTGAACCATCGATATCTAAGGCAACGTGATAGGGTCTACGACGCTACGAGCCAAAGCCAGCTGCAGTGGGTTGCATTTAGCCATCGGAGATCCAGTTTGGAAAAGTAAAAAAATCTGCAACAAGACAAATCTATAAGCAACATAATTAAATCGCAATGACTTTTTAAATACTTTGAGGGACTTCAATCGCTTATGGTGTTTTTTCCCCTTTTTTAAGACATCCGCCTGGACGGTAGGCGAAGGATGGCGAAGGATGGCATTGGTGGCTTGTTTCACATCCCGAACGGATGCGGCCAGGTCCTCGTGTCCAACACGCCTGGGTCTGCAGGGGTCGGGCCCCGAGGGCCCTCGGAGTGGGTGTGGCTTCCTGGTTGTTGGCCATCAATTTTGCTACATAACTCTATAGTCCATTTATTGATTTATTGAGTGCCAACATGTGCCAACCACTGCTCAGGTGATTATATCATGTATAATATTAATGTAGGGTTACAAATGATGAATCGGTTGCTTTCATTTAAAGTCTACTCTTATCACAAGAGTTGTGCTGGAATGGTTGCAGGAAGAACCCAAAAAAGGTTCCAAATGTCTTTGGCCACTTGCCCATTGTCGAACCACCAGACCCATGGCTTTCGGCAATCCCAACAACTGGTATTGCCCCATATCTGCTATTGTCAAACCAAGCCCTTGCTTTTGCCACATTCAATCTCCACTATAAGAGGATAATTCATTGATATTCATTGCATCTTGAAGTTTATGATCTCAACGAAACAAAGACAGCCATCACGATGCTGAAAAGAAAGTTTGTCGCTACACTTTTTGGTGAACTTCTCCGACTTATTCCGACTTCGTCCAAAGAAAAGTGTTTCGGGTCCCGGCGGCCGATCTTGCGGCAGTTCCACCTAAACCAAGCGCCGTGACTTTGTTGGATTCTTTGGATCCAATTTGATCCAATTTGCATAATGTGTGGTACAGGACATTGACGAAATATATGACTCATATTATCTCATATTATCATATGACTATGAAAAAAACGATATCTGGTTAGACCTTTCTTTCATCACTCTTTCATCAGCCTTATTCTAATGTACTGCAGGAACTGCAAAACAATGTTTGATTCTAGAAAACTCTGTTCTCATCTGTGGGGATGACACATTCAATATTGCACAGCCATTCGACATCTTTGACAGTCATTGACATTGATGCGGAATTTCATCATGACGCCAGTGACTCCATGTTTCAAAGCTTTCCCCTCCCCAGCTGCTCAAGCTACAGTCGCATCATGTCGCATCTCTTTCCGTGCAATGGCAATGTCTCAATGGGCGGAACAGCGCAGCGTTTCAAGGAGATTGGTGGGTCCAAGGGTACTCCCCAAGCATCTTGTAGAGTGACACCAGTTTGGTTCAAATACGTTGAAAGGATCGTTGAAATGCACTTTCTTGGGACTGTTTCCCTTTTTTGAATCTCTGCAATGAGCATGGTTCAGATTTCAGCCACGAATTCCGATCTTCGATGGCTTCTGACTTTCGGATGTTTTTCGGAAATTCAGCGACTCACTTTCGGATCTTCCAAAAGTTTCCAGTACCCAGACCATCCCAGACCAATCATCCAACGTGCTTCCTGAATTTGAAGGACATGAAGCCACTGGTGGGCTAGCCGCATCAAGATGCGCGGTCCCCAAGACAACGTGATAAAAGCCATAGAAACTTCAATGCCGGAGCCAAGAGAAGCTCACCCGTTCTTCATTGTCAAAGCCGTATCCGATCCTTTCGTTGGAACATGTTGGATGTTGATTTTAATTTCTGAATCGCTGGTGAGATTCCTATCTGGATGATACGGGTAAGATTCCATCCATCTCCTGCCAGCACTTGAAAATGTGTCTCCTAGTTAACACAGTTAACACATTCCACAAAAGTGTGCCTGAAACTGCCCGCATCGTTTCATCTCTTTTTTGGGTCCCTTTTTTCTCCAAATCTGCCGGCTTAAAGCTGGTCTGGAATTTCACCATGCACTAAAGGCGCGTGAGAGATCTGCTTGTTTCCCTGTGAGGCGTCGGCGAATGGGCTGCGTTCCGTCCTGGGATGAGCAACTGCACGGACAAAACGAAGAGTTGAAAAGAGTCCCTGCACAGCATAGGTTCGGGATGAGTCCCGAATACACAGAGCATATTTGATTGATATCGGTGATATCGGTGATATCGGTGATATCGGTGATATCGGTGATATCGGATAGTGGAGCTAGTGAAAATCCGTGCCACCATCTACCACCCGCACACCCATCACGCATCCTACTGCCCTGTCCAGAAGGGGCGGTCGAGCTGTACGACGAAGCGCCCAGGGAGCCACTGCACTGCCTGGTAACGGAATGGCAGGACCGGTAGAAGGCAAGGGCAAGGAGCGATGTTGGCTTCATGGAATGTCATCTCCCAAGATGTCCCAACATTTCCCAAGATCACACAACCTGGTTATCGAATTTATTGACCAGGTCTTTCCGCAGTGGCCAGGATCTAAATGTATTTGGTTCTGCACCTTCCACTTCTTATTAAATAGTTTTGGAACACCGTCACCTCAAAATCCCTGTACACTCTGTACACCAGTATGGACATCCATGGACATCCCAGATATGAATGCTCATCATGTGCTCATTGTGTGCTCATTATGACCATCCATGCAATTTTACGCCAAAGACTCCTGAATCTCCACGCATTCCAAATCATGCCGCCTTCGATGCGTTGCAGGCTTTGTGTAGGCACCAAGATCTCCTGAAATCTGCTGAAATCTGCAGAAATCATGTGAAGCCACTGTGAAGCTGCCTGGAGATGCCGAGGAATGTATTTGTTGACGGCCGCTGAATGGGAGCAATTTGTTCTCGAAAGTGTTTGTTCGGTACAAATTGCTCCAAATTGGAGAATCAAATTGACCCGAAATTCAGAAAAATCAGGAAAGGTTCTCGAGAGAAATCCCATAGTCATCATAGTCACCATAGTCCAACACTTTCGGCTCCCGAAGCTCCTTGGTCTCAACCTCGCCAAGTTGCTGCGAATGCATTCAATGCCATGCCATGCCTTTCATCATTGGCTGAGCTTCCCGACACCTCCAAGCTGCTTCAAGCGCCGATGCAAATCATCCACCTGCACAGCGTCGCCACAAACATCAACAAACTTGTTACATCTACATCACACGATATCACACGATATCACATGTATGACCTGTCTATGACCCTTCTATGACGCATTTATATGTTATATGCATCTATGACCCATCTATCGTATGACCCTCCTGCAGCACTGCATTTCTCTCAAGAAAAATGTCAAAAAAAAACGCCATGGCTGATGCGAAAGCTTCATGATCACAGAACCTTAGTAATCGTGCTGTTCATGTTGATGTACAAGTACAATGATCATGTCACTAGATGTTAATATGGTTGAAGGATAATTAGATTCTATGTGATTCTATGATCCACTTTTCAGACTCCACGATTTTTTGATACGTGACATTCCGTGACATGTCACGGATATCGCATGACGCGATCATTTTGAGCCCAGCCCAGGACACTGCTGTTGCTCTGTCGGCCCGGCTCCGGCCTTGTTTCGGAGGAGCGTCAGCCGCTGTCCCTGGCGTTTCCGCTGTGGACACCGAAACACTTTGTCCCTGGCGTTTCCCTTTCGCAATTCCTGAGAACTTAAAAGAGAAACTACTTTTGGATACTTTTGGTGGAATCTGAGCAGTAGATCAAACTATTTCAAACGTTATCGTTATATATTCAAACTATTTCAAACTGAACTCTCGAAAGAACCCGGTGTCAAGATCCACCTGGTTCTCTTCCTCTGCTAGAAGAATCTCCAAATGCTGTCGGACCTCCAACGATGCAGCGATGGAGTGCAGAAGGGATCCTTTTTCGAATTATCTCCATGGCCAGTTCCTAAGACACAAATCCGCCGACCCCAGCAAACTGCAGGGGGAGCGCGCCCGAGAAGAAATGTTGTTGCTAGGTCCTTGGCTGCCACGGTGTTTTGGTGCTGCGAGCAGGTAGCCGCAGGGCTGGCTAATTCCAAGGTTTGGAGCTCGTTTCTATGGATTTCCTGTGGTGCGTAATTCTTGTTGGATGTTCTGACATGTCTGGGTGAGCGGAGGAAAACATATGCAGATGTCTCAAAAGAGGAGTGCTCACATGAGTGCTGAAACTTATCCGCCGACCCCAGCCATCTGCAGGGGGAGCGCGCCCGAGAAAAAGTGGCTTCAAGCCCTGAGCAACACTAGGCAATAGCTTGGTTGTAAATGCTTCCGGCTCCGGCGCCCTTTTGCATCTACCGTGTCACACAGTCAAGGTTTGCAGCTACAGGGTCCTTGGACTCCAGCTTGGACCGGAGCGGTCGCGGGTACAGTCACGGTTTGGACCTCAGTTTCTCGGTTCAGAAAGTAACGTTTGGCACTCTGGGCTACGGGCCGCGGGCCCAATCCGTCCTTCACTGCCATGGTGTTTTAGCCCTGCGACAGGGTCCTTGGAAGTCACGGTTTGGACCTCAGTTTCTTGTCGGTTCAGAGAGTAACGTTTGGCACTCTGGGCTACGGGCCGCGGGCCCAATCCGTCCGTCACTGCCATGGTGTTTGAGCCCTGCGAGGGGGTCCCTTGACCGGAGCCGTGCAGCACAAAAGCCAGCTGCAAGACAACGCAGGCCCGTCCTTCACTGC